TCATGCATCAATTCACCACCCAGTGGTGCAGATCCAGCCAGTCTGTCTGCCTGTTCATTCCCCACCACATGCCGGCATAACCTGGAGAAAAGATCCGAAATATGCTCACTACTCGTGACCTTGCAAGTGAAGCTTGCCACTCTGCTTGAAGCAATCTTGTCTTTACTTTTCTCAGCATGCTTTCAGGAGTCTGCTACAATCATGACATGTGTATGTATTTTGTTCTCTAGCCACTCGCAAGCTGCAGTGACCACCTCCACCTCCAATTCTCATGCTAGATGTTGTGATATCATATACCAGGCTGTCCTACACTAAATATTTTCTATTGGCTTTCGCTACGAACCCCCCGGCACTTTTCTTCCCTCTCAATACAGAACCATCTGTGTAGATAATCAGATCATCAGAACAAGAATTGTCATGAATCATCTGTTGGACTTCCACCTCAGTATCCCCCCACTGCATTCCCAACTTAATGTTTCAAAACCCTACACTGATCAGACTTTTCCTCTGATACTCTGACCCACTCCTCTCCTCGCCCAATGTTCTTCAGCATGCATTCTTGTCTTATTGTGTCTTCCGCTTGTGCCATCCATGATTTCCCCTTTTCAGCCTCTGACGCTTTAGTGCATCCAAAGCTTCATACAGAGGGTGCTCTTTATAGCAGCTACTCTGATGTATGAATTAGTCTGCAGCACCTTTAGCCTATCTGCAATAGTCGGCATTGTAAGGACGTATCGCATGCATACAATCGGGGTGTCTCTTGTACATCCCAGGGTCACCTGCATAACTTCATTCTGTGTGCGCTCCAGTTTCTCTAGCTGACTTCGAGACAGTGAGCAAACCGAATCCATAATCAGTCACTAAGATGATTAAGTGCTGGTAAAGTGTGAACAGCATTCTCTGCTTCATATCTATTGCTGAACATTATTATCCTGTTTATTGTCATCTGTTTATTTTGTATGATCATCTCTGTTTATTGTTTAGGATCATCACTGTTTATTGTTTTATGATCATCTCTGTTTATTGTTTTATGATCATCTCTGTTTATTGTTTATGGTCATCTCTGTTTATAATTTTATGTTCATCTCTATTTATTGTTTATGGTCATCTCTGTTTATTATTTTATGATCATCTCTGTTTATTGCTTATGATCATCTCTGTTTATTGTTTTGTGATCATCTCTGTTTATTGTTTATGGTCATCTCTGTTTATTATTTTATGATCATCTTTATTTTTCATGGTCATCTCTGTTTTTTGTTTAGGATCATCTCTGTTTATTGTTTTATGATCATCTTTGTTCATTGTTTTATAATCATCTCTGTTTATTGTTTATGGTCATCTCTGTTTATTGTTTATGGTCATCTCTGTTTATTGTTTATAATCATCTCTGTTAATTGTTTAGGGTAATCTCTGTTTATTGTTTTATGATCATCTCTGTTTATTGCTTTATGATCATCTCTGTTTACTGTTTAAGATCATCTCTGTTTATTGTTTATGATAATCTCTGTTTACTGTTTATGATCATCTCTGTTTATTGTTTATGGATCATCTCTGTTTATTGTTTATGGTCATCTCTGTTTATTGTTTATGGTCATCTCTGTTTATTGTTCATAGTCATCTGTGTTTATTGTTTTATAATCATCGATGTTTTTTAAATGGTCATCTGTGTTTATCGTTTATGGTCATTTGTGTTTATTGTTTATGTTCATCTCTGTTTATTGTTATCTGTGTTTGTTCGTTATTGTAATTTCTGTTGTCATCTCCATTTATTGTCATCTCTGTTTTTTGTTTATAGTCATCTCTATTTATTGTTTATGGTTAGATGTGTTAATTGTTTATTGTCACGTCTGTTAGTTGTTTATGGTCATCTGTGTTTATATAGTCATCTCTGCTTATTGTTTATGGTCATCTCTGCTTATTGTTTATGGTCATCTCTATTGATTGTTTATAGTCAAGAACCACATATATAGCAACATCATAGCTAGTTCAGCGTGTAGACCCACCTTAAAAGCAAATTGTATGGCTAGATGAGTCTGTAGACCCGCTTATATAGCATAAAGTTTGGCCAGATACAGTCTGTAGACCCGCTTATATAGCATAAAGTTTGGCTAGATCCAGTCTGTAGACCCGCTTGTATAGCATTAAGCTTGGCCAGATCCATTCTGTAGACCCACTTACAAAGCATTAAGCTTGGACCAGATCCATTCTGTAGACCCACTTATAAAGCATTAAGCTTGGCCATATCCAGTCTGTATAAAGCATTAAGCTTGGCCAGATCCATTCTGTAGACCCACTTATAAAGCATTAAGCTTGGCCAGATCCATTCTGTAGACCCACTTATATAGCATTAAGCTTAGCTAGATCCATTTTGTAGACCCACTTATAAAGCATTAAGCTTGGCCACATCCATTTTGTAGACCCACTTATAAAGCATTAAGCTTCACCAGATCCAGTCTGTAGACCAACTCATAAAGCATTAAGCTTGACCAGATCCAGTCTGTAGACCCACTTATAAAGCATTGTATGTAACAATACATTTAAGTAGCTTTGTCTGTAAACCAGGTGTTTCTGCTCTATAAACACAAATCCCCTCCACCACCCACAAACACCCACCCAATCACACCACACATACAGAGGAAGAGAGAGGGAGGGTAGACCTTTCCTTCCTTCTGACTCATACACAATATAACAAACCTCATGACTAACATTGCAGCCTGGGTACTTTGACCTCATTGCTATCCCCTACTCTAGAAGCCATGTCTGCCCGCCACCCCTGCCTCCTGTAGCCACTGCCCCATTCCTGGCATGTGCTTCAGCTTAAACAAACAAACCTCCAAGTGTTGCAGGCCTAACAGGCAACTGCCTTCCCTGGCATATCATTACAGCCATGCCTAAATGGCTATTTGAGACTTGGAAATTGGCGTAACTGTACTCGTGTTGCGGGATTATGTAGTATCAGGATGTGTTTAGGTTTGGTCTGAAAATTAGTATTATGTTATTCTGCTTCTGCGTTCTAGATATAAAAGTTGGCTCATTGTGTTTGGTTTTGCAGTGAAGCTGCGATATCTGATCCTTTCAGCACAACATGTTAAATTTCAGCAAATCGTTAAATCATTTATTCCCAAACAATGTTACTTCAACTTATTATATCTCAAAAATGTTTAGTTTTAAAGCAATAAATGTTTAAGGTTTGAATTGGTTCAACAGTGACTCCACAGAACAGAAGTGGTGAAACTAAAAATCCAACGACAAAGTGTTAATGTGACGTCTGTCTCTTGTAGACGACAGTGAGAGCATCATATACGATATTACTTCAACTCATTAAATCTCAAAAATGTTTAGTTTTAAAGCAATAAATGTTAAGGTTTGAATTGGTTCAACAGTGACTCCACAGAACAGAAGTGGTGTAACTAAAAATCCAGAGACAAAGTGTTAATGTGACGTATATCTCTAGTAGACGACAGTGAGAGCATCATATATCTTGGGAATTACCAAGGAAAATATGGGGAGCTGTTTGGTTACTGAAAGAGTTAATCTGTTGCTTTTATTACATGGAGGGCACCAGGTCTGTTTTCTCCCTAGAACCCACACAGGTAAGTATTGTATGATAAGTTGTTGGGATGATCTTGTAGGTGTAGGCATTGTTTATGTGGCTGTGCATGATCCCCAGAACCCACACAGAGAAGTATTGTGTGATAAGTTGTTGGGATGATCTTGTAGGTGTAGACATTGTTTATGTGGCTGTGCATGATCCCCAGAACCCACACAGAGAAGTATTGTGTGATAAGTTGTTGGGATGATCTTGTAGGTGTAGACATTGTTTATGTGGCTGTGTATGATCCCTAGAACCCACACAGGTAAGTATTGTGTGATAAGTTGTTGGGATGATCTTGTAGGTGTAGATATTGTTTATGTGGCTGTGTATGATCCCCAGAACCCACACAGAGAAGTATTGTATAATAAGTTGTTGGGATGATCTTGTAGGTGTGGACATTGTTTATTCGGCTGTGTATGATCCCCAGAACCCACACAGGTAAGTATTGTGTGATAAGTTGTTGGGATGATCTTGTAGGTGTAGACATTGTTTATGTGGTTGTGTATGATCCCCAGAACCCACACAGATAAGTATTGTGTGATAAGTTGTTGGGATGATCTTGTAGGTGTAGACATTGTTTATGTGGCTGTGCATGATCCCCAGAACCCACACAGGTAAGTATTGTGTGATAAGTTGTTGGGATGATCTTGTAGGTGTAGACATTGTTTATGTGGCTGTGTATGATCCCCAGAACCCACACAGAGAAGTATTGTGTGATAAGTTGTTGGGATGATCTTGTAGGTGTAGACATTGTTTATGTGGCTGTGTATGATCCCCAGAACCCACACAGGTAAGTATTGTATGATAAGTTGTTGGGATGATCTTATAGGTGTGGACATTGTTTATGTGGCTGTGTATGATCCCCAGAACCCACACAGGTAAGTATTGTGTGATAAGTTGTTGGGATGATCTTGTAGGTGTGGACATTGTTTATGTGGCTGTGTATGATCCCCAGAACCCACACAGGGAAGTATTGTGTGATAAGTTGTTGGGATGATCTTATAGGTGTGGACATTGTTTATGTGGCTGTGTATGATCCCCAGAACCCACACAGGTAAGTATTGTATGATAAGTTGTTGGGATGATCTTATAGGTGTGGACATTGTTTATGCGGCTGTGTATGATCCCCAGAACCCACACAGGAAAATATTGTGTGATAAGTTGTTGGGATGATCTTGTAGGTGTAGATATTGTTTATTCGGCTGTGTATGATGCCCAGAATCCACACAGGTAAGTATTGTGTGATAAGTTGTTGGGATGATCTTGTAGGTGTAGACATTGTTTATGTGGCTGTGTATGATGTTTATGTGGCTGTGTATGATCCCCAGAACCTACACATTTAGGTATTGTGTGATAAGTTGTTGGGATGATCTTGTAGGTGTAGACATTGTTTATGTGGCTGTGCATGATCCCCAGAATCCACACAGGGAAATATTGTATGATAAGTTGTTGGGATGATCTTGTAGGTGTAGACATTGTTTATGTGGCTGTGCATGATCCCCAGAAACCACACAGGGAAGTATTGTGTGATAAGTTGTTAGGATGATCTTGTAGGTGTGGACATTGTTTATGTGGCTGTGTATGATCCCCAGAACCTACACATTTAAGTATTGTGTGATAAGTTGTTGGGATGATCTTGTAGGTGTAGACATTGTTTATGTGGCTGTGTTTGATGTTTATGTGGCTGTGCATGATTAGTCTCTGTGGCTAAGTGGTTAAGCTATCAAGTTAGTTAGTCGACAGATTATCCTCACTGCACATAGAACCATCGGTTCTATCGGTTGATCGACGGTCCGACAAGCTGTCATCGCAAAACCACCAATTGTTATAGAATCAGATTTCTGACTCGAACTGCACGATGATTCGTTCTAATCTGTTAAATTCCAAGGACATCTTTAAAATTGAAAGATTAAGGGAAGAACAAGCCGGTTTTAGATCCAAGCGGTCATGCATAGACCACATCTTTACTCTTAGAATAATTGTTGAAGATTCTACAGAATTCCAGTCAAAATTATTGATCAACTTTGTCGACTTTCAAAAAGCCTTCGACAGTATCCATCGTCCAACACTCTGGAAATTGCTTAACATCTATGGTTTCCCCATCAAATATATCAACATCATAAATCTTTTTTTAATGAAACACGATGCTGTGTAAGAACTGACTTCGGCAATTCTGACTGGTTTCCGGTGGAAACAGGAGTGAAGCTCAGGCTGTGTCCTATCGCCGATGCTTTTTTTCTATAGCAATCAACTGGGTCATGCGCAAGTGCCTAAACGCAAAATTAGGCATTACATGGGTTGACAAAATTCTGGAAGACCTAGTTTTCGCCGACGACATAGCACTCCTGAGTTCAGAACACACACGCAAGAAAATTCATCAATCGACTCCAGAATTTCTCAGAACAAATTAGACTCCAAATTAACAAAAAAATCACAAAATTCTAGACTTACCAACAGTTCAGTTGATATCACGCTGAACAACAGCCTTGAAAAAGTCAACAGTTTCACTTATCTAGGAGCAAGATGTCATCTACAGGAGATTACCGCACCAGAAATATCATTTAGAATAGAGTGTTGCATCTAGTGCCTTCAATAAACTGTCTAACATCTGGAAATCAAAGACACTTAGCAAACACACAAAACTCAAGATCTTCAATTTTGTGTGATTCCAGTACTAACCTATGGATGCGAGAGCTGGAAATCAACGAAAACTCTAGACACAGAATTAGACAGTTTTGAAAATAAATGCCTTAGAAGAATACTAAATTTCAAATGGTCCTTTCCGAACCAATACACAAATAAGGCAAGAATCCAGGCAAGAGTTTTGTCTAATTTTATACGAAAACGCCGCTGGAACTATGTCAAAGCCACGCCCTTAGAATGGATAAATCAAGACTTCCTTACCAAGCCCTCATTTGCTACACCACAGGGGAAAAGATCTCGTGGAAGACCAAGGGAAACCCTACGTAGAACTATCATCAGGGAAGGCTCGCTCATGGGCCACTCAAACATCCAAGACCTACAACGGATTGCAACGGACCGCCGTGCATGGAGAGTCGCGACCTCTGCCCTATGTGCCGCACTCGACACAAGAGGAAAGACTAACTAACTAACTAACATTGAACCATTCAGACCAAAAGTGCTCGGATCCCCCTCCTTAGTAAATTCTGCAGTGTGTAGCGGCTCATGACACCAGTCCTAAGTTGGTTTCTTATTCTTCTTTGGCTTTCTGCATAGTGCTCTTATCTGGCCACATTACTTTTTACTTGCTGTTCTTGCCTAATTTTGTAGAGCATTTGCTCTATCAGCCTGGTCCAACTCTTCTCCACCCTTCACAGTGCCCTACCTGCCAGCCTATCAGCTTGCTCATTTTCTTGCATGCCTGTGTGCCCTGACAGGAAAATGAAACTGATCTTTATCAGCACCGCCCTCCTCAGAGACTGCAGCCACTGTCTTCGGACACAGCAGATCTCTGTCTTCCTGAGCATTGAGTCACTGAGAAAGCTTCTTGTGTGGTTTCCGGGGCCACATTGTGGGGGGTGGGAGGGACACAAAGAATAGACCCACTGCCACTCTTACACGCATGCCATCAGGTGTTTCCTTTACAGTCGGAGTGCGAGCCTGACACCACAGAATTGCAAACTACATTTGCAGCGCCTAAGCCACAGATTTACTAATTCAACAATCAACATTATAGCACACTAGGCATACCCGTATGTGCTGACTTCCACAGCAAATGTCTAACTGTTCCTGTAGCTCACTGATTATACACTCATTATTCTCTTCTTAGTCCCTCCTTGGCAGGTCTAAACCTAATTCCTCATTCAGACATTCTTACACAAGTTGTGTCATCTAAGCTCATATCTTCAGTTAGCATTCATTCATAACTGGTCTTCAGAATATCTCTTTTGTCCAATAAAAACAGATCACTGGTTTGACTACAGAGTTGTTGGGCCTGGTTGATGAAACTGCTTTTTTTTAGTCGCTCCATTGCTAGACTTTGGAATCTTTTTTAATTAGAGTGTTGAGGAAGTTTTTCTGTAGCTATCACATTTTGCTGCCACAAAATCAGCTTTTTTTATTTTCTTGTACTCCTTTTTAGTCACTCCATTGCTAGACTTTGAAATCTTTTTTAATTAGAATGTTGAGGAAGTTTTCCTGTAGCTATCACGTTTTGCAGCCACAATCAGCTTTTTTATTTTCTCACACTCCTGCCACAGACAAAGCTAGAACTATGCATCGAAAATGATACTATCATTAGCTACACCAGACTGCACATTATGTCAGGCTGGTGTAAGTTTCTATGGATGATCCAGTTGTAACTGGAGGTTGAACAGGGTATCTGGGATTTGTTCTGTTGGTCTGCGACCTAGATTGAGTTTTGAAGTCTGCAGTTGTCTGGTGGGAAAGAACGAAATAGAAGGAACAAAGCTGAAGGCATAAAAAAGGGTCACCTTTCTTGCTTCTTCCTCTTGTTTCTTCTTTCCTTCCGTACCTCTTTTTTTTTTTTATGTTCTCCACCATTTCTACCTTCTCTTTTTTCAAACTGCATATTGCTTCCATCTCTCTCTGATCCCACATTGTTGGTCCACACACAGGCACAGATCCCACATTGTTTGTTCACACACAGGCACAGATCCCACATTGTTGGTCCACACACAGGATCAGATCCCACATTGTATGTCCACACACAGGCACAGATCCCACATTGTTGGTCCACACACAGGCACAGATCCCACATTGTATGTCCACACACAGGCACAGATCCCACATTTGTGGTCCACACACAGGCACAGATCCCACATTGTGGTCCACACACAGGCACAGATCCCACATTGTATGTCCACACACTGGCACATATTTGTTCCACTAATTTTGATTTGTTACATTCACAATTTTTACATGGGCTTGAGCTTCAGTTTTTCACATGTGAGGTCAATGTTGATCATGAGACTGGCATGCTGCCTACTGCGTTACTGCCGTGGCGAAGTGGTTAAGTCGTTTGCCTCATGTTTTAAAGGTTACAGGTTCATTTCATGGCTTCATCATTCAGTTCATTAGTACAGTTTTTACAGAGATCCTTTGGGATTGTATCCAGGGCTACAGAGTCCATGCTTTGTGTGATGCAGATAGTCTTAGAGCCGTATGGGATAAATCTCAGTGCTTAAATCAATCCTCTCGACTCGACTTTAGGTCAAAGTTGACATAATTTCAGAAAGAATTAAATAATTCATAAGACGCGTGTGCTGAAATAGAAACATTTTATTACAGTCAAACAAATTGAATAATTCATGTGAAGTGTATGATAAAACATTCTTATATTAAACCCACAACATTGAAAAGATGAAAGAGAAACATGCTTATGCCAAATACCCAAACAATGAGGTTACAGATGCCTGCAAGTGCTCATGTGTTGTTCCATGTAGTGATACATGCAAGTGCTCAAGGTGTTGTTCCATGTAGTGATACATGCAAGTGCTCAAGGTGTTGTTCCATGTAGTGATACATGCAAGTGCTCATGTGTTGTTCCATGTAGTGATACATGCAAGTGCTCATGTGTTGTTCCATGTAGTGATACATGCAAGTGCTCATGTGTTGTTCCATGTAGTGATACATGCAAGTGCTCATGTGTTGTTCCATGTAGTGATACATGCAAGTGCTCAAGGTGTTGTTCCATGTAGTGATACATGCAAGTGCTCAAGGTGTTGTTCCATGTAGTGATACATGCAAGTGCTCATGTGTTGTTCCATGTAGTGATACATGCAAGTGCTCATGTGTTGTTCCATGTAGTGATACATGCAAGTGCTCAAGGTGTTGTTCCATGTAGTGATACATGCAAGTGCTCATGTGTTGTTCCATGTAGTGATACATGCAAGTGCTCATGTGTTGTTCCATGTAGTGATACATGCAAGTGCTCAAGGTGTTGTTCCATGTAGTGATACATGCAAGTGTTCAAGGTGTTGTTATGTGTAGTGATACATGCAATTGTTCCTGTGTTATCAATGTTGTGATCCATTCAAGTGCTCATGTGTTGTTCCATGTAGTGATCCAATCAAGTGCTCATGTGCTGTTCCATGTTGTGACAAATGCAAGTGCTCATGTGCTGTCCCATGTTGTGATACATGCAAGTGTTCTTATGTTGTTCCATGTGGTGATAAATGCAAAAGCCTTTTTTCTGCAAAAAAAGATGCAAGTTCTCACTACAAAGTGACTGTTACAGTCGCGATGGGAGAAAATGCCTAAAAAAGGTGTCGGTACTGCGTACGGCAAGAATAAAAAGCTATACATGCAAATTTTCACCAGCTCTTCTGTAGTTGCATTAATAGTGTTTCTTGTATTTGGTTGTGTTCGAAGTGTATTTGTGTTTATGTTTTCTGTTTGTATTTGTCTGTGCATCTATCTTCTTTTCTTCTCCTTGTATTTGCTTTTAACCTGAGATTTCATTATGTTTTTTGTCTTGATTTCTGTCTTTTATTTCAATAATCGCCACATTTATTTTCTGTGTTGAAACAGTGAACTCGGAGGCTAATGCAAGGAGGATATTCAACATAGAACAATGTTTCGGCTCATCAGGGCAGGTAACTCTCACTTCCTTTATTTGTTTAGATGTAATCAGAATGTATAATTCTTGTCTTTCTCCTGTTTCTTTATCAAAGTGTTGGGAGGAAATGTAAGAACCTTCTATGTGCTCTTTCTAATACAGTGCGTAAGTTGATCTTAATTTTTTCCATGTTGATTGTCATTTCTTTAACTCTATTACCATTTGGAATGCTAAAATAAATAGGCTGTGACCCCACACAAATTTTTTACACTGGTAATTAAAAAATTTACAAAATAGAGTTTGTATACATAGGGGGGGAGGGTATTGTGAAGATATAAAATGGAATATAAACAATAAATACGAACATAATGAAGCATTAAATAAAATACACATCCTGGGGTCCAAATAAAAATATATATCTGGTGCTGTGACCCCATTGCCTCTCATTGAGGCTACAGGAAATGTGTGACCTCAATATGGCTTTAAAAAAGAGCCGTCTGATGAGAGCCCTTTCATCACTCCATGCTATTTTTAGTAACTCAATTCACATCTAGACCCCTTGAATGCTATACCGGCACAAATTTTGCAAATAGAAAAAAAAAGTTCCTGTCCCAATATGGGATGTAAGTTTTCATTATTATAAAGCCCCACCCTTTCATATAACCTGACAGTTGAACAGGGTTTCTGGAACTTGTGATCCTCATCTGAATGGTGGCACTTTGTGTCACCGGATGTTGGTTGCTTACTGTACAGTCCAAGTGGGGTTAAACAACACACATCACCAATAGCACTAACTATGCATCTCATAAACACCTCACTGTAGACAAGTCGGGAAAGTGACTTTTATGATTTTGAAGCTTCCTTTCCTGTGTCCTCTCATTTTCCATATCTCACTTCTGTAGATTTTAATTGTTGTTTCCCATTTTGACTTGCTCAAAGTTTGTTGAGTGTTGAATGAAGAACTGACATACAGCACTCAGGATATACCTGTAAGTGCTCCGTCATCAGCTTCGGCAGCCAACAAAGAGTTCCGATTCTGATGGTGCCTTTAGCGGTTTGACTGTATATCCGTCTTGCCTTTTCTTTGAGTGTTGAGCATCAGCACCATTCTCCTCAGACCCTGATGATCTGTGTTATCAAATGACGCTTATAGAAGTTTATTATCAAAGGACACTTATAGAAATATATTACAAAGGACACTTACAGAAATATATCACAGTACACTTATAGAAACATGTTATCAAAGGACAATTATAGAAATATTTTATCAGAGGACACGTATAGAAATATATTATCAAAGGACACCTTTAGAAACATGTCTAAGGGCACTTATAGAAACATATTATCAAATGACACTTATAGAAACATGTTATCAAATGACACTTATAAAAACATATTATCAAATGACACTTATAGAAACATGTTATCAAATGACACTTATAAAAACATATTATCAAATGACACTTATAGAAACATGTTATCAAATGACACTTACAAAACATTATCTAATGACACTTATAAAACATATTTTTAGTAACACTTATAAAACATATTATCTAGTGACACTTATAAAACATATTATCAAATGACACTTACAAAACATTATCTAATGACACTTATAAAACATATTTTTAGTGACACTTATAAAACATATTATCTAGTGACACTTATAAAACATATTATCTAGTGACACTTATAAAACATATTATCTAATGACACTTATAAAACATATTATCTAATGACACTTATAAAACATAATATCTAATGACACTTATAAAACATATTATCTAGTGACACTTATAAAACATATTATCTAATGACACTTATAAAACATATTATCAAAGGTCACTTATAAAACATATTATCTAATGACACTTACAAAACATATTATCAAATGACCCTTACAAAACATATTATCAAATGATACTTATAGAAACATATTATCAAATGACACTTATAAAGACATCAAATGATGCATGACTGTTCTCACTTCCAGCCTCTAGTAATCCCGGGACGTGTTTTGGTAGGCGAAGGTGTTCTAACAAAGGTTTGCCGCAAGCGAGCGAAACCTCGGCAGTTTTTCTTGTTCAATGACGTCCTTGTCTATGGCAACATCATCATCCACAAAAAGAAGGTCAGTATATTTCTGTTTCTGCCAACTTGACATGGTTACATCTGATGGAAGACATGCGTCTTCATTTTCTTTTTCTTCTTCTTCTTCATCTTTGTTGTTGTTGTCATCTTCTTCTTCTCTTCCTTTTTTTCTGCTGCTCCTTTAGCTTCTTCTTCCTCCTCTTGATTTTCTTCTTCATCTTCTTTTTTTTTTAATTCTCTCCTCCTTTTCCTCATTCTTCACCTCTTGCTTCTTCTTCTTTTTTTCCTTTGTTGAATGAGTGTAATTTTTCCATTTTATTATTTTGTATTTCAGTACAACAAGCAGCATATTCTACCTCTAGAAGATGTGAAGTTGGACAATGTTAATGATGAAGGCAGTAAGTGTTATCTTTTGTTTTACCATCTTCACCCTTTTTCATGTTCTCCTGTTTGTTTTCAGGTGTGTTGTTATTTAAAATGTAAAATCCTATAACACAGTGACTATCCTCAATCTGCAGATCCTTGATAGAACATCGCTCTCGTCACGGCACGCCTGAAAGTTTCTACTTCTTTAGCCAGTTCTCCAGCCCTGTGTGCTTTCATAGCCAGTGTTCTTCCTCTATCCACATTCATGGAGGTCTGCCACTGCCCATTTTTCCAGAAATCGTACCCCCCATCACCACTCTCTCAAGGCCACTGTGACGTTTAACATGGCCATAATATCTCAGCTATTTGAGAATGCTATTTACAAGGTCCGACAATTAAGTAATGAGACTGATTTTATTATGGCCAAGACAAAAATGTCATATATAAAGCAGAGCATGAAATCTAAGAGACAACATTCTTCTATGATCTGGCAACTTTTCATCACCACTAGATAAGCAGACAGCCAACAAGCCACCATTTTGTTGACCTAGTCAGAGATGCATTGTTACGTAATCAGCACGGAGCAAAAAGCTAACGTTAAATTCTTTTTAAAACTCAGAAAAAGTGCCATTGAAACAGTTCAATTGATTCAACAAGTTTATGGTTCAATTGATTCAGCAATTCTATGGGGATAATTGATTATCTCATGCACAAATTTTCAGGTGGCATTCACTATTTAAAAATGGTGATGACATGATTACTAATGCACCTAGACCTGGACGGCCAATATTTGTTTGTAATGATGAACTCTTTGCAAAAGTCAGAGAACGGATACAAAAGGATCATTATTTTACTGTTAAGATGATGGCTGATGAATCTGGTGGTAATAGAGAAACCATTCACAAAATTTGTGTGCAAGATTTTGGCAAGAAAAAAGTTGCTTGCCGGTTTGTACCACATTTGTTGTTTGATGACCAAAAACATCAGGGGGTTGAGTACCCAAGAGGCATCATCAAAACAACAATTTTTGGCCCCAAAACAAGTGTGTGTTCTCAGTCTTCCACCCTATTCCTCAGATTTGTCTCCCTGTGATTATTTTCTATTCCCAGAATTAAAGTTTCAATTGAAATTACGCTTTTTTAACGATTTTGATGACATCCAAAGGGCAGTAATATCGACTTTAAGAGTCATAACAAAAGAACAACAGAGGTCATGCCAGTGTTTCTTAGATCCTGCCACTTGCTGTATCAGTGCATTAAGGGCTTGCTTTGAATAAAATACAGGTTATATCTTCAACTGTTGATTATTTTAATTTTTATGAAATTAGTCTCACTAACTTGATTGTCGGACATTGTAGTTTTCAGATCGAGTGAAAGATGGTTCCATATATGAGCAGTAGAATATGCTAAACTTGATTTGAATAAATCAATTTTGGGTTTAGGCAAATGTAATAAACTTAGTCGCTTGCTATTCGTAGGATTAGATTGAATCAATCGGTTGATGTAATTTGGAGTATTTTTAGATAGGGTTTTGTGAATGAATTTGGCCTTATTAAAAATAAAATTTTACTAAGGGGCAGAAATCTTAGATGTACGTATAAATGATTTTTCTCGACGTAGTTTCTATCAGAAACTAGACGTGAGCCCTATTTTGTAGATAACTCAGCTGTTTGACATTAGATTTGGAGCAACCATCCCGAATTGTGGAACAATAGTCAATATGCGTTTGAATGTAAGATACGTAAAATATTGTACGTGTATTTTCGTCCAGAAAGTGCTGTATTTTTCCCAGTTGACATACTTTTGTGCTACTTTTTTGGTCATGGCATGAACATGGGAACTCCAAGCTAGATGGCTGTCAATGAAAACACCTAATGTTTTGTGTTCAACTACATTAACAGTAGTTAGCTTGTCAATGAAGAGCTCAAGCAGTGGCTTGTGTAAAGCTAATGTTTTGTGTTCAACTACATTAACAATAGTTAGCCATTCAATGAAGAGCTCAAGCGGTGGCTTGTGTAAAGCTAATGTTTTGTGTTCAACTACATTAACAATAGTTAGCCATTCAATGAAGAGCTCAAGCGGTGGCTTGTGTAAAGCTAATGTTTTGTGTTCAACTACATTAACAATAGTTAGCCATTCAATGAAGAGCTCAAGCGGTGGCTTGTGTAAAGCTGATGTTTGTGTTCAACTACATTAACAATAGTTAGCTTGTTAACAAGCGGTGGCTTGTGTAAAGCTGATGTTTGTGTTCAACTACATTAACAATATTTATCTTGTCAATGAAGAGCTCAAGCGGTGGCTTGTGTAAAGCTAATGTTTTGTGTTCAACTTGTTCAACTACATTAACAATAGTTAGCTTGTCGGACCTTGTATGTAGAATGTCAGTGTTTTTCTTTTGGATCCATGGTATTCTAAGAATGTTTCTGTTGTATTCAAGTTCAAGAATCATCTCACACTGTCTTCCTCGGTCTCTCTTTCCTCAGATCTTTCCAACTGTCACATGACAAACCATGAAAAAACCCTATTTCCAAGACCTCAAGAAATTATTTGGCTTATTTATTAATTGTCCAGGGATTCACAGCTGTATGTTGTTGTTGTTATCGACCCAGCTGCACATAAGCTTTCGCCCTCTGGCCCAATTCCATGTAGTGGAATTTGCATGTTTTCACTAGCTGCTCTTTTCCTCCGTACAAGGTGTTCCACCTATCTATTCTCGGAGGGAGTAGCATTCTTCTAGTCTCGCTGAGTTTTGGGCACTCAAAGAGATGATGTTCAACAGTTTCATAGCCTTATGTTAAAACTGGCTCTATACAGTATGCAATAATTCTTTTTCTGACCTGTGATGACATGGATTTATTGCATGAAATGTTCTTTATTTTGTCAGATGCAGTAGAGCCATATACCATATCAGAAATTGTCTGGTTACTCCACATATACCATATCAGAAATTGTCTTGTTTCTCCACATATACCATATCAGAAATTGTCTGGTTACTCCACATATACTATATCAGGCATTGTCTGGTTTCTCCACATATACCATATCAGAAATTGCCTGGTTTCTCCACATATACCATATCAGAAATTGTCTGGTTACTCCACATATACCATATCAGAAATTGTCTTGTTTCTCCACATATACCGTATCAGAAATTGTCTTTTTTCTCCACATATACCATATCAGAAATTGTCTGGTTTCTCCACATATACCATATCAGAAATTGTCTGGTTTCTCCACATATACCATATTAGAAATTGTCTGGTTTCTCCACATATACCATATCAGAAATTGTCTGGTTTCTCAACATTTACCAAATCAGAAATTGTCTGGTTTCTCCACATATACCATATCAGGCATTGTCTGGTTTCTCCACATATACCATATCATAAATTGTCTGGTTTCTCCACATATACCATATCAGAAATTGTCTGGTTTCTCCACAGATTTGAGGAATGGTTGGAAGATCATGAGCCCTAGCAAGTCGTTTGTCGTGTACGCTGCCACGGCATCGGAGAAGAAGGAGTGGATGGCGCACATACGCAAGTGTGTCAACGATTTACTGGCACGACGTAGGTTCTTTCATGGTCTTCTCCCTTTTCTACCCTTTATTCCACAATGAGCAGCCATCTTGATGTTGGCAGCATCGCCCACCAAGTGCCGATTGGTCTGAAATTATTAGTTTAACAATAAATACCCATCAGCTTTTGTGGCTTAGGTGTTGCGAATGGGCTTTGTAACACCGGGTTGATGGGTTTAATCCCAGCTGCTGGCGAATTGGCAGCAGTCTGCCTTGCATTGGTTTTGACAGTAGTATCAAGAGCCAGTCATTCAAAAAGCAGTGTAGACTACTGAACATTAATTCGCCTAGAAAAACCACAACAGCCGAAACAATTCTGAGGCTGGTTCTGCAACATCCTGTAAGAGATTCGCAACTAACTTATTTTTTAGTTATATATCTGAAGGTGTGAAAAGGGTTCTTTATTGCCCCCTCCCCCTCCAAACTCCACATCCCCCCCATGAAACAGAGGCCCTCAGCGAATTCATCAAAACCATCCTATTTTTTGCAGTCACATTTAGCTTACCCCTTATCCTCGCAGTCTTTTTCACTCAACTGAACTATTCCCTTCTTCATGTGATGTTTTTGGCCATTTTTTTCTTTAGCCTAGTGAGTTTGATTACAGGGACATACTAGTTAGACATTTTTTCTTGTTGCTCTGAGGCCCTGATTTAAGGTGTAATAAACAAATGGACAGATATTGATGAGCGCTCACAGAAAGAAATGGAGACTGGACACACTAGACAACATAAAGATCAAAAGCTGTAGTTACCATACTGGGAATCAAACCTGTAACCTCCAGATAGTGACAGCATCACCCCTGCAGGAAAAAACGTACTATTGTTTGTGACCAACTTGACATCCCTCCCTGCAGGAACAAACATACTTGTGTTTGTGGCCAACTTGTCACCCCTCCCTGCAAGAACAAACGTACTTGTGTTTGTGACCAACTTGACACCCCTCCCTGCAGGAAAAAACGTACTTGTGTTTGTGACCAACTTGACACCCCTCCCTGCAGGAACAAACGTACATGTCTTTGTGACCAACTTGACACCCCTCCCTGCAGGAACAAACGTACTTGTGTTTGTGACCAACTTGACATCCCTCCCTGCAGGAACAAACGTACATGTGTTTATGACCAACTTGACACACCCCCCCCCCTCCCTGCAGGAACAAACGTACTTGTGTTTGTGACCAACTTGACACCCCTCTCTGCAGGAACAAACGTACTTGTGTTTGTGACCAACTTGACACCCCTCCCTGCAGGAAAAAACGTACTTGTGTTTGTGACCAACTTGTCACCCCCCCCCTGCAGGAACAAACGTACTTGTGTTTGTGACCAACTTGTCACCCCTCCCTGCAGGAACAAACATACTTGTGTTTGTGACCAACTTGACACCCCTCCCTGCAGGAAAAAACGTACTTGTGTTTGTGACCAACTTGTCACCCCCCCTGCAGGAACAAACGTACTTGTGTTTGTGACCAACTTGACACCCCTCTCTGCAGGAACAAACGTACTTGTGTTTGTGACCAACTTGACACCCCTCCCTGCAGGAACAAACATACTTGTGTTTGTGACCAACTTGACACCCCTCCCTGCAGGAACAAACGTACATGTGTTTGTGACCAACTTGACACCCCTCCCTGCAGGAAAAAACGTACTTGTGTTTGTGACCAACTTGACACCCCTCTCTGCAGGAACAGACGTACTTGTGTTTGTGACCAACTTGTCACCCCCCCCCCTGCAGGAACAAATGTACTTGTGTTTGTGATAAACTTGACACCCCTCTCTGCAGGAACAAACGTACTTGTGTTTGTGACCAACTTGACACCCCTCCCTGCAGGAACAAACATACTTGTGTTTGTGACCAACTTGACACCCTCCCTGACCCTCCCTGGAACAAACGTACATGTGTTTGTGACCAACTTGACACCCCTCCCTGCAGGAAAAAACGTACTTGTGTTTGTGACCAACTTGACACCCCTCTCTGCAGGAACAGACGTACTTGTGTTTGTGACCAACTTGTTGTCCCCCCCCCCCCCCCCCCCCCCCTGCAGGAACAAACGTACTTGTGTTTGTGATAAACTTGTCCCCCCCCCCCCCTCCCCCTGCAGGAACAAACGTACTTGTGTTTGTGACCAACTTGACACTCCCCCTGCAGGAACAAACGTACTTGTGTTTTTGACCAACTTGACACCCCCAAGAACGATGCGACACAGTGAAGGCTGACAGCTTCAAATATTTGTTACTTGGCCTTATCTTCTTTTCGTTTGTCTGAGTGACGTCTTTGGGTTGTGCCTGTTTACAGCTTAGCTGCAATATTTATGCCTTTCGACCAACATATCCGACTTCATCCGACGTTTTTTCACCAGGTTAACCTTCTTAGATGTACTGTGATATAAATCGACCAGTTACCGAGGATAATTCAGGCATGTAAAGTCTCCAGTCGACCAAGCCTAAAATATGTGTCCGATTTTTCGGAAGTAAAGGAGGTAATGTACTGACTTAGACCTGTAACTCTCCGGTCGACCAAGCCTAAAATATGTGTCAGATATTCTTGGAAGGAAACAAAAATGACTAGACAAGACTGTAAGGTACCTCCACATCGCAGAGTAGAAGGGAAAAGACAATAAGACTGTAAGGTACCTCCCCACTCCAGAGTATACGTGACAGACTTAACACATACCTACCTTCACATTCCAGGGTAACAGTAAAAAAACCAATAAGACTTAAATGTACCTTACACCCAAGGATAGAAGAAAAAGATTAAACAGGACTAATATACCTCCACATCCTAGGGTAGAAGTGAAAAGACTAAATAAGTCTGTAGAACCTTTACATACCAGGGTAATTAATAGACTGAACACAGTCTGCTATAAATAGAAAAGGAAAAAAAACACAAATCTTTGTACATGTCATATGTCAAGATGTGGATGTCATATGTCAAGATGTGGATGTCATATGTCAAGATGTGGATGTCATTGTCACTTGTGTCCTGCAGGTGGCATCAGTCAAAGTACCAGCAGTGACTCTCCTGTGTGGGTTCCCGACTCAGAGGCTAAAACATGCATGCATTGTAGGAAGTCAGAGTTCACAGTTGTCAATAGAAAGGTAGGTCAGAGTTCACAGTTGTCAACAGAAAAATAGGTCAGAGTTCACAGTTGTAACTGAAAGGTAGGTCAGAGTTCACAATTGTCAACAGAAAGGTAGGTCAGAGTTAACAGTTTTCAACAGAAAGGTAGGTCAGAGTTCACAATTGTCAGCAGAAAGGTAGGTCAGAGTTAACAGTTGTAACCAAAAGGTAGGTCAGAGTTCACAGTTGTCAACAGAAAGGTGGGTCAGAGTTCACAATTGTCATCAGAAAGGTAGGTCAGAGTTAACAGTTGTCAACAGGAATTTAACAGCAATTTTTTTGGGGGTAAAAATAAAAAAAAATTCACATTTTAACCCCCATTGCCTCAGAAGATCACAAGAGGGGGAAACCCTGGAGCCCGTAACTTCCCAGAAATTATGCATTTCATGAAAACCAACCGTGCCAGCAGCAAGAGGGACAACCTGAAAATGGAAACATCAAGAGGCAGGGGAAGACTGAGAAGAAGATAGATTGAGGGAGCCACTGAAACTTTGAGACGGCACATCAAGCGACTGAGCGCGCGCTGGCTCGGCTGCCGATCGTCTGATAAACTGCGACGCCTCGCGGCATAAGCAGATATTGACAAAAGAAGAAGAAAACCAAGAGCTCTTTTAACTTCAGAGGCACATCGGGCAAAAGTTGCTTGACTCATATTTTGATAAACCATCTATCACTCTGTCAACATCAGACTGGTCACCTTCACTTTCCAGGACAATACCTGGTTGCCATTTTAGACTCTGCCATCCTGGGAACCAAGATTGATTTTGAAGGAAAAAAATTATGCCTGAAAATGGATTCGAACCCAGCAGGGCTACGTCTAGTTGCTACTTCACTATAGCTCCATTGAGTAATATAGTGTGATTGTAATATTTTCAGCATCACTGCCGCCACTGTGGAATTGTGGCTTGCAACGCTTGCACTAGCAGGCGTTGGCTTCTCCCGCAGCAGAGTTCGAAACCCATCCGAGTTTGTCTGACTTGTTACCACAAACTGGCACAGGAGACAGCCAGCAGCAGTGTCACCAGGACCTGTAAGTGTTTGTTGATGTCTCTATCTGCTGCTGCTGTTGTTACTGTTCATATGTCTTATTGCCATTGTTACTGTTCATGTGTCTTGTTGCTGTTGTTGTTTCTGTTCATGTGTCTTGTTGCTGTTGTTGTTACTGTTCTTCTTCTTCTTCTTCTTGTTCACCGGCTGTGAATTCCGGCGGTAAGTCGCGGTTGTTCGTCCAAATGGACTTTTGGCTTTTACCTCGACCTGAGTTTTGCGTGTACATCCGTTTTACTGTCTTATTTGTTTGCAGTCCTCGTTCCCTGCCTCACCGGCAGATGTACTCCGACTTCGAGGGAAGACGTCACGCCTATTTCTAGGTTGACTGTGGCTATTGTTTTGTGTGGGTCGAGATGTTGCCTCATTTGTGTGGTGTCCTCTTTGACCTTTAACAGGTGTGGCCCCCGGAAAATCCTCCTAAGTCAGCCCTAGGTAGAATTGTCAGCCCTCAAGGGAAGGCAGGGGCAGATCATGGGCATTCCCCGCCATCCAAGGAGGCTTCCATAAATGCAGAGCCGACACATGATGCTCTGGTTCTGGGCTCACCCAAGGAATCGTCACGTCCTGCCCATGACTGCTTAACCTCACAACCGTGTATTAAGCTTCCCGTGCTACAAGGCTGCGCTCTCCGGAGATCAGTGGGGAGTAGCCTGCAGATCCAGGACTTTTGTGGCCACACAAATGGGTACATTCTTTTTTCATCATACGTTAGACACCTTTAACGTTGTTTCAACTGTGCCCTTGGCACGACAGAATGGGGAAGCAACATGCCTCAGGCGTGGCTTCGCCTGTTCGGTCCCAACACTCGGGCGAGTGGGACCAGTGGATACGGATATTTGGACTTTTCCTGATCGGTACGAATTATGGTCATCGGACTTTGAGCTTGCATGTGTGCCGTAGGATTTAACTTTGTCAGACATTATTTCCTAGCCAGCAGATTAGAAGTTGCTGCCATGGTGTACCTCAGCGCAGTGACGACGACGCTGAGGATTGACAGAGGATGTACGTAAGAAGGATCTTGCTGCGATAATTCACCCACAAGAGATGTTACCCGTCTTGGCTGCGGGTAAATCTCTCGGTCAAGGGTTGAGTCTCAGCAGCACAGTTTTCCCTTCGCTCCAGACTTTTAACCGAGAGTTGTCATTTGATGGTACATTTGGCAAGCAATCCTTACTCATGTTCCGAATGAGTTTTGATAGACTTTTCACCCATGCGATTGGGGGCGGGCTGATGAGAGCCAGAAAGGACACTACACCTCTAGGGGCCGCCAGCTCCAAGATCCCTTGCCAACTCTGTTAATGCTCATTTGAGACATTATCCGTGGTGCATGACGGGGACGTGCAGCAGGAGTCTTGCATGAGGTTCCGTAAAACCAGAACAGTGAAGGACTGGCGCCCGAGTGGGGTACGGAATATCTCCTTATACACATCACACCAGACTTAACTTCCCCTCATGCCTGTGACTGAAATCACCGCGCCACTGTTACTGTTCATATGTCTTGTTGCCGTTGTTGTTATTATTGTTCATATGTCTTGTTGCTGTTGTTGTTTCTGTTCATGTGTCTTGTTGCTGTAGTTGTTACTATTCAGATGTCTTGTTACTGTTGTTGTTTCTGTTCATGTGTCTTGTTGCTGTTGTTGTTACTGTTCATATGTCTTGTTGCCATTGTTGTTCCTGTTCATATGTCTTGTTGCTGTTGTTGTTACTGTTCATATGTCTTGTTGCTGTTGTTGTTACTGTTCATATGTCTTGTTGCCATTGTTGTTACTGTTCATATGTCTTGTTGCCATTGTTGTTTCTGTTCATATGTCTTGTTGCTGTTGTTGTTACTGTTTATATGTCATGTTGATGTTGTTGTTACTGTTCATATGTCTTGTTGCCATTGTTGTTCCTGTTCATATGCCTTGTTGCCATTGTTACTGTTCATATGTCTTGTTACTGTTTATATGTCTTTTTGCTGTTGTTGTTACTGTTTATATGTCTTGTTGCTGTTGTTGTTACTGTTTATATGTCTTGTTGTTGTTACTGTTTATATGGCTTGTTGCTGTTGTTGTTAATGTTCATGTTTTGTTGCTGTTGTTGTTACTGTTTATATGTTTTGTTGTTGTTACTGTTCATATGTCATGTTGATGTTGTTGTTACTGTTCAAATGTTTTGTTAATGTTTTTTTTTTTGCTGTAAATATTTCTTGTTGCTATTGTTACTGTTCATATGTCTTGTTGCTGTTGTTATTACTGTTCATATGTCTTGTTGCTGTTGTTGTAACTGTTCATATGTCTTGTTGCTGTTGTTGTTACTGTTAATATGTCTTGTTGTTGTTACTGTTCATGTCTTGTTGCTGTTGTTTTTACTGTTCTTATGTCTTGTTGCTGTTACTGTTCATATGCCTTGTTGCTGTTGTTGTTAATGTTAATATGTCTTGTTGCTGTTGTTGTAATTAACATGTCTTGTTGCTGTTGTTAATGTTCATATGTGTTGCCATTGTTACTGTTCATATGTCCTGTGCTGTTGTAACTGTTCATATGTCTTGTTGCCATTGTTGTAACTGTTCATATTTCGTGTTGCCGTTGTTGTAACTGTTCATATTTCTTGTGCAGTTGTTGTTACTGTTCATATGTCTTGAGCTATTGTTACTGTTCATATGTCTGTTGCCATTGTTCATATGTCTTGTTGCTGTTGTTGTAACTGTTCATATGCCTTTTTATCGTTGTTGTTACTGTTCATATGTCTTGTGCTATTGTTACTGTTCATATGTCTGTTGCCATTGTTCATATGCCTTGTTGCCGTTGTTGTAACTGTTCATATGTATTGTGCTATTGGAACTATTCATATGTCTTGTTTCCATAGTTGTAACTGTTCATATGTCTTGTGCTGTTGGAGATGTTCATTTGTCTTGTTGCCGTTGTTGTAACGGTTTCTCTGTCATCAGTCACACTTCCAGAGTTACCACCCACACACAGTTAAGGTTTGAACTGTAGAAGTATAAACAGACGGCAACGAGCACTCTGTGACACAACCTTCTTGCCCTTCCCGTGTTACCAGTGCCAGACATGGACGATGACAGAAAAAGAGAAGAGAAAAATTACAGCCACTGAAATGAGATACCTCCAAAAGGCTTTGAAAATAACAGTAAGAGATAAGATCAAAAATGATGAAATCTAAAGGAAAATGGAGGTAGCATTAAAAGACAACAGATGAAATGATTTGGCCATATAGCACTGATGTCAGCAGACAGTATACCAAGCAAGCTATGATGTACAGACTAGATGGGAAGCAAAGAAGAGGCCGACCTTGCAAGCGATGGACTAAGGGAATTACAGAGTCCCTGGAAATCCCAATTTACGAAGCACACAAACGAGCTCTTTCCTGTAAATTATACTTCGCCTGGACAGGGCAAGTTACCAGAGGATCAAGATGAGATGATAAGAGTTTACATATCTGGCTTATGTGTGTGCAGACTGTTGGTCTTATGTCTCTCAGGCACATGCACTCTGGACTTGGAAGGAAGCATGTCTGATTGGTCATCTTTTGTGATATATTTGTTAGAAGAGGAGCAATGTTTCTGTTTTCATGGGGTCCCCGGACCCCAGATAGGAAATTTTTTGTTTTATGCTGAGTTTAAAATGTTCATTTTTTTCTTTATGCTTAAGTTTTAACTTTCCATTGCTTCTATCTGCATCAGTTTTACCTTTTCATTCATATCTGTCTGTCAGTGAAAGCAGCAGTAGCAGCAGCAATAGCCGAAGTAGTATTGGTCACATAACAGCAGTAGTAATATTAATAATAGCAGCAGTACTAGATGAGATGATATAATAGTAATAATTGTAGTAACAGTAGTAGAAGTAGTAGTAGTGGCAGAATTAGTAGTAGCAGCAGCAGCAATAAAAGTAGTAGTCGTAGTAGCGGTACTAGATGAGATGATATAATAGTAATAACTGTAGTAACAGTAGTAGAAGTAGTAGTAGTGGCAGAATTAGTAGTAGCAGCAGTTGTTGTAGTATCAGTTTTAGTAGTAGTAGCAGTAGGCATGGTGATAGTGTTAGCAATAGCAGTGTATTTGTATCAGTCTGTACTAGTGGCCCTTAGATTGGTATTTTCTCATGAACGCAGTATAACGTCTATACGTTCTTTATTTAAACATTGTCTTGTTGCGTCAGCGTCTGTGGCTTAGACATTGCAAACGCACTTTGTAATCCCAGCTGCGGGCCTTGTGCCTTGCGTTGGTTTCAACCGTGGTATAGATAAGCTGACCGTCCAGAAAGCAGTGGCAAACTACTGGACGTAAATTTTCCTAGATAAACTACAGCAGCCCTCTCCTTCCCCCCCCCCCCCCAAGCTTTGGTTGGTACTGCAATGTCCTGTAAAGGATACGCAACTAACTTACTTATCTTATCTTGTTGCAGATACTGTGATAGCAACAGGAGATGGCAGGAACTCATCGTTTGAAGATTCGTCTGATGATGATGATGATGTGACAAAAGATGGCAGCCCTGCCCAGTACCAGTACCAGGATGACCAGTTGGACATGCATGATGTGAGAATCGTCTTCTTCTCTCTAAACCAAGGGTGGGCAAACTATGGCTCGTGGACCAAAACTGGCCCGCAGAGCAATTTTTACTAGCCCGCGAGGCTGGTGAAAAATTACTGTATAATCTGGTCCTTGAGCTCTCAAAATAACAGACCACAGAAACGTATATCTGTATGCAAAAATAGGATTTCTGCAACCAGCTTGAACAGATACATTTAGGAATAAATAGAAGTGCTTCAGTTGATGAGTGTGTCTGGCCACGGCCTAGCAAGAGATTTTTATCTTAGATTATCCAGGTGTTACGTTTATAGTGGATTTTTGGAGCACGGACACACACACACACACACACACACAAAAACCACCCTGCTCTACACCCTTTTTTTTGTTCTCAATGTCAGGTTTTGAAGAATCATCTGGTACGAGCCATAAAGTGCACTACATTGATGCTATTATTTGATTGGCACCTTTCCGTCTCTTCAGATGATAGTGTTGTATTGCCTATACTCACAGCCCATGGCGATGGCGAGTGTGACTAGCAAGATGGGCCTGAGTTTAAAAAAGTCTTCCACAATTATAGCATGAGATTTCAGGACCTTTGTTGTCAACATTTGTGTTTAGTGTGTTTCTTCTGAGACGCTCAGCTCTCATCCTTTCTGCAATCATTTCTTCCTTCGTTCTCATTCCCTTCCTGGTGTACCCCCTCCACACAACAATGTCCATGGCATTTTGTTCCCATGATTCCACCTGGTTCATACCCTGCTTGCGCACATCTTTATATCATAGTAGAGGTCAGCCTCAACATCTACCCATCTTTAATTCACCATAAAGGATGTCCTTACAGACTTTGCCATTCTGCATTCTCCAGGTGTGACCCAACCACCTGACCTGTCGTAGGTTGAGGATGCTATTATTTATAGTCTCAGATATTCCATCTATGCATTGCTTGTGTGGACAGCCTCTAGCTCTGCTTCAGTTGCATCTGAGTGACAAGGCTTTCTGTGGTACAGTCCTGTGGCAGTGTGGACACCTGTCCAAACGATTTGACTTGTTGCCGAATTATGTTGTTTAGCACTTGTTTTCTGATATTGTCAAAAGAAATCTTGTTTATAATATTTTATTGCATAATGGTGCAACAGTAGCAGACAAGTTAACCTAAAAACTGTAGAAAAAGCCAAAAGAACATTACCAAACCGGCACATAAATGGGAAACAAGGCGATTGAGGAAATGAGGATGTCCCAGAGAACACAGAGAGATCTGTTGTTGAGAGATGTCAGAGTTCCATCCATGATACTGAGAGGATTGTACTTCTTATGTCAGTGTTGGAGGCCTCAATTTTTCAGGAAGAAAAAAAATTATAGACTCCCTTCCCAGTCCAAGCCAACTCTGCAACAAACATGTCACAAGAGGCGGTTTTTCTTCTTTGTCTTCTTTACATTCACTAACTGTGAACTCCGGCGAAAAGTTCTGGTTGTTCCTCCACTTCTGTACTTTGGTCTTGTTCCAGATCTGGCTAATTTGTATGCAGGCTATTGGTTCCTCGTCTCTCAGGCACATGCGCTCTGACTTTAAACTCCTAATTAGTCTACTCTTACAACATGCTTTTTAGGGGGGAGGGGGCTGTTCTTTCTCCACAGACTGTGGCCCCAGAACCCCACAAGGAGAAAGAGATTTTGCTGAAATCAAATGTGTTGGGCCTAAACATGCGACAGCTATCACAGACTAGCTGTAAACAACAACACAATGTGCCAACCACCTTTTAAGGGCAAACATGGAAACATAAGTGTTGCAGTTTCACCTCAGACAGTTTGCCCCATAATTGCTCCATTTCTGAAACAAGAGAAAAGCACATAAAATCTTCTTCTTCTTCTTCGCGTTCACTGTATGTAAGCTCCGGTAGAAAGTTCTGGTTCTTTATCCATCTCTGGACTTTAGACTTGTTCCAATACCTGAGTGTTGTATATTCATCAGTTTTACAGATCTGACTTATTTGTTTACAAACTGTTGATTCCTTGCCTCTCAGGTGGATGCACTCCAACTTCTAATGAAACTCCAATTACTCAACTCTTAGGACATGCTTGTTGGGGAGGCAGTGGGTCTGGGCCCTGGAACCCACACAAAATGCCTGTCGTTGTCCCATTTGAAAACTAATGAAACAGCAAAATCCAGCAGTTCACACATGCAGTGAAAACATAAAGCAGCAGCCAGAAGTGCCAAACATTTGCCATCGGAATTGCTGCTCATCATTGATAGATGAACAGTCATGATAGCAGTCATAACAGAAAAAAAAAGCAGTATTGCATAAGGCACACTGCCAGTTCTGATACAAACCAACCACTTGCCATTTTCTGACAACACAAACCATCATGGATACAGGTGAGAAACAAATTCACAGTTTACTCTGTCTCGCCAAGTACTCGGGTTGGTAGCTGGGCAAAGGAATCGTGCTTTCTCAAGTCCATATATAAGGAACATGATTCAGCAGAACTATGGCTAGAAGCAAATAAAACTTCCCATTAAGAAGGGAATATTGGCCCAATGAGTCAACACCATACTCGTAGTTGATTGGAACTAAGGAAGACCTACCAAAAAAAAAAAACCTTGTCCGTGTATATCAAAAAAGCGATCAGAAGAAGCAGAGGAGGAACACTCCAACCCTTTAATGCAGGGGTTCTCAACCTGCCAGGCGCAAGCCTTTTTTGTGGTTGAACGACCCTTTCACAGGGGCTGCCTAAGACCATCGGAAAACACATACTCATTGAAGTTATGAAGGAAAATAATTGTTTGGAAGTCATTACAACATGAGGACACTTTATTAAAGGGTTGCAGCATTAGGAAGGTTAAGAGCCACTGCTTTAAGGCAGTGTCCATCCATCTGTCATTTTGGACCAGAGATTGGCAAGCTCAGTTAGCAGAGGAATTAACTGCATGTTTAATCTATCTTTTCTAATATCATTAACATGTTTATTTCTTTGTTTCTTTGCCGTCAGTCACACTTCCAGAGTTATGACTAACACACGGTTCAGGTTTGAACACTAGACATCCAAGTGATGGTGAATCATCGTCTGTGGAATATTTGAAGGACAGCCTGTGAACTTTCTTTTTAGTTTGTGTGTGGCTCAAAGATGTTGCATTTCATCATTGGATCTTTGGTTAATTTTATGACATTTGTGGAAATAGACGAACTTGATGTTATTAAATTTGTTAGATTTTTTACCAGTGTTTTAAATACTGTTTTAACAATTTTTGTACATGCAATTAGAATCATGAAAGATAAATACTTGTCAATTGTATTTGTATGTCCACTATTTTATTCATTTTTTTTTTATTTTTTTTATTATCCATCCATCATTCGTTCATCTAGCCTTTCTTTTACACATTCCGACATTTATTCATTTGTCCTTTTATTCATCATTCATCATTCATCCATCATTTATTCATCGGTCTATCATTTTCTTCATCTTCTTCTGCTTTTCATCTTCTTGTTCATCTCATCATCATCTTCTTTTCATCATTCGTCAATCATTTATTCATATGTCAATCCTTCACTTTCATCATCATTTCCTTCTTTTCATCATTCGTCAATCATTTATTCATGTGTCAATCCTTCACTTTCATCATCATTTCCTTCTTTTCATCATCATCTTCTACTCATCATCATCATCCTCTTATTTTCATCATCATCTTCTTCTTCTTATCAACATCTTACATCAAGAGATTAATACACAGGGCCTTAGAGGTGCAGCCAGGATGAGAGATATGCTTGTTCATGAGCGCGATGTTTTTCTTCTCCCCAGAAACCCACACATATATGCAACACATGCATATGTACATATCACTCATACATATACACATACATACATACATCGTCATCATCATGTGCCCTGTCAACTGGCTAAGACACTCATGCGTCTCCACAGATCACGAACCCTGGTTGCCTGGAACAGCTTTCTTGATGATATCCCTCCAGCCCATCCAGCATCATCTCTCTTGGTCTGCCTCTACCCCTTTTTCCACTGATCTTTCTAGTTGTCACAATGTTCTCCAAAGTCTCTCTTCTCATTATGTGGCAAAAGAACAGTGTTTGTCTCTCTTATTGTTGTGTATATAGAGATTTACATACATAGACGTGCATAAGAAGAGGGACACAAGAAGAGGGTGTAAGAGACTCATTGTAACTAACTTATAGTGTGGAGATGACACCTAGATGATTGAATGTCTGGATGCCAGAAGAGATGCATTCTTTGTTCTTTACATGTTGCAAACTCCTGCAGTACATGTTTTCTGTTAATTTATTGTCACATTTCCACTGTTGATTAGTTTTTCTTCCATTTTGTATTCTCCTCTGTTGAACAGATTTTAACTTTCTGTTTTGTTATTTTTATTGTTTATCTAGTGTAAGTAAAAAAAAAAAAGTAAAGATCCCTTTTCACGCCTTTCGGCGCATCGGGCATATGGGCAGTGTGATCTGTTATAAATATAAGAGATGGTTTGCGTGAAGCTATGTTCTTATGAAACTGTTGCTCTTTGTTTAAATGAATCTTTTTATGCCTTAAGCTTGTCTGGCTTTTTCTTTTGTAGATTTAAATCAGTGGTGTTCAACCCTTGAATGTATGGCAAGACCTCCATGCGCCCCCCACCGACCCTTTAAAAAAATGTGATTACAAACATGATGACAAAAAATTAATCCCAGGCTTGATTAACAAGAACTCAGGGGGAAATCCACATTAATCAAAGCGTCAACATAAAAGAAACAGTCACCAACTGGTAGTTTGATATCCAGATATGGATGTGATGGTTGACACGGTTTAGTCTTGAGGATATCTGATATTTTTCATTTGCAATTTGCCAAGCACAACAGAGATCATATCACACACGTAGGGCTGAAAACCACTGATTTAAATAACGAGAGTATAAACAGTATATTGCAAAATTTATACACATGGTAAGGTACAGCAAAATATGCAAATAAATTGTAATAATGATTATATAAATGAATGCAATGTCTATTGTTATGGAAGCTGCATAAAACAGTACATCTGCTATAGCTACTGAATGTGCCTTATATAAATTGTCATATTTTATTATTATTTTATTTACACTCTCAGGATTATTTCTTCTTGTCCCTTGGAAAACTGTATACAGATAATTATCTATTGTTAAACATAGTTCATAAATTGTGTTGTTAAGAATCTGTTTTTAGTCATTGATTCGGTTCTTTAACGTTTGCGAATGTTACCAACCAATAAATGATTGTGTTATCATACTCAAAAACTATTTTGTTTTATGTAGAATCATCATCATCATTCTTTTGTGTCATTATATGTCACATGGCTCGCTGTCTTTTTATCCATTCCATTCTGTCTTGTGAAATTGTTTCAGTAACATAGATAGAATCCATGACCTCTCTTATCAACATTCGTTTTTGGGTTTCTTTTCGGCTTCCTCACCTCCTCAGTCCATTTGTTTCCCATTTACTTGCCTGTTTGGAGATTTCCTATCTGATTCTCCTAAGGGTGTGTGCAATAAATCACTATTATCTTTGTTATGGAGTTTAGCTCAAGCAAAAGTTGCATTTCACAAGTTGCAGAATATTCTGTGCAATCTATATCAGCTGAGGTGAGGAGGAGAGAAAGTTCGTATGAGCTACAACATACAATTACCTGGCTTCACCTAGTATCATCAAGTGCCTTGCCAGCTGGCATAGGCGTTCATTGCATCTCCACAGATCTCGGTCTTTTGTGCTTTGGATTAATTCCATGCCACTGTCTTAACTCTCTGTCCCAAGGAACGCATTATACGTTCATAGGTTCCTACCTAGAATCCCAATGAACGCATGATGCACCAATTTTATTACTTTTTTACTACCCGATGGGCCTGGGACTCAAAGAGTTAAACCACCCACCATCGTTTCTCTTGGTCTGCCTCTGCCTCGTTTACCAATGATCTTTCCAGTTGTCACAGTACTTGCCAGTGAAATTTTTCTCATCACATGACCAAAGAACTTTGTTTGTTTCCTATCATTGTTGTATATAATGTTCTACTTTCATTAGTCATTTCCAGGCAATCATTATTAGTTATTCTGGTAGTCCAAAGTATTCGCAACATTCTTCTCAAGAACCACATCTCAGTTGCCTCCAAAGTCTTCTCAATTTGTTTGCTTACCCAGGATAGTTAATGAGAATGTTATTCTCCTGTCTTCTACTTCTTTACTTCTACTGATGCCTTATGTTTATTTATTGTCCCTGATTGCATCTGATGCTCCTCCACTCCCACCCCAGGCCATTCTAGCACCCCCCCCCCTCCCCCATTTCACTGGTGAAGCTGCTGCCCCAGTGCTAGCACCTACTTTGTGAAACACTGTTCTAGCTACTTGGCTATCGTGACTGTAACTGCTAAAATGAAACAACAGTAATTACTGTCCAAAATTAAAGTTTTAATTGAGACAAAAACTGAAAACACTTTTTTGTTTGTCTTTTTCAAACTCCTCCTTTGCATGTGAAGGTATGGCCCTGTTGTAACAAGGTGACTTGACCCACTGTTTCCTTAACAAGCATGTCCTAGGAGTCGACTAATTACGGGTCTCCTTTGAATTTGAAGTGCATGTGCTTGAGAGACCAGAAACCAACAGTCTGCACATAACTAAGCCAGATCTGTAAAATGGATGTGCACGTGAAACAAGACCTAAGTCCAGAGGCGGATAAACAACTAGAACTTCCTGCCAGAGTTTACGCTGTTGAATGCGAAGAAGAAGAAGGAGAAACAGAAGAAATTCATTTTTCAAGGGGCATTAAAAAATATGTTGCCAATGCAAGGGAAATAATTTAAGTGAATGCTAACATTTTGGGGATTGTGGAATTGGTTTGCCCGGTTCTTTCAAGCTTGTGAATGTTACCAACCAAGTAATAAATAAATGATTGTGTGATCATACTGAAAAACAGTTTCGGTGCTCTCCTTTTTTGGGGTAAACAGCGGGAGGTGGACTTAGAATATACAGCAGCCACTGACTGCCTGACAAGATGACAGGGTGTGTGGTGTACTGACTGCCTGACAAGATGACAGAATGTGTGGTGTACTGACTGCCTGACAAGATGACAGAGTGTGTGGTGTACTGACTCCCTGACAAGATGACAGAGTGTGTGGTGTACTGACCTGACAAGATGACAGGGTGTGTGGTGTACTGACTGCCTGACAAGATGACAGAATGTGTGGTGTACTGACTGCCTGACAAGATGACAGAATGTGTGGTGTATTGACTGCCTGACAAGATGACAGAATGTGTGGTGTACTGACTGCCTGACAAGATGACAGAGTGTGTGGTGTACTGACTGCCTGACAAGATGACAGAGTGTGTGGTGTACTGACTGCCTGACAAGATGACAGAGTGTGTGGTGTACTGACTGCCTGACAAGATGACAGAAGTGTGTGGTGACTGCCTGACAAGATGACAGAGTGTGTGGTGTACTGACTTCTGACAAGATGACAAGATGACAGACAAGATGACAGAGTGTGTGGTGTACTGACTGCCTGACAAGATGACAGTGTGTGGTGTACTGACTGCCTGACAAGATGACAGAGTGTGTGGTGTACTGACTCCCTGACAAGATGCCTGGGTGTGTGGTGTACTGACTCCCTGACAAGATGACAGAGTGTGTGGTGTACTGACTGCCTGACAAGATGACAGAGTGTGTGGTGTACTGACTGCCTGACAAGATGACAGAGTGTGTGGTGTACTGACTGCCTGACAAGATGACAGAATGTGTGGTGTACTGACTGCCTGACAAGATGACAAGAGAATGTGTGTGTGTACTGACTGCCTGACAAGATGACAGATGTGTGTGGTGTACTGACTGACAAGATGACAGAATGTGTGGTGTACTGACTGCCTGACAAGATGACAGAGTGTGTGGTGTACTGACTGCCTGACAAGATGACAGAGTGTGTGGTGTACTGACTGCCTGACAAGATGACAGAGTGTGTGGTGTACTGACTGCCTGACAAGATGACAGAATGT